TGCCAGCTGGTAAAATGGCCATGCTGTAGCCAAGAAAAATGGGAAAGAACATTTGTTTTTCCCACAGATCCCCATCATTCAACAGCACCACCCTGTCACAGACCTCATAAACCTCCCAACACTCACTCTCACCCAATACTGACTCCAGAGACCCTCCCCCCATCACACACCCTACACACCCTCCCATCACTCCAAATTTCCCCATCATTCACCCTACGGATTCCCCCATCACTGACTCTAGAGACCTCCCATCACAGACCCCACAAATGCGCCATCACATACACACACACACACACACCCCTCAAAAAAAAAAAGAAGAGGGAACACTCCCAAACTCATTTTACAAGGCCAGCATTACCCAGATACCAAAGCCAGATAAGGGAACTACAAGAAAAGAAAACTACAGGCTAATATCCCTGATGAATATAGATGTAAAAATTCTCAACAAAATATTAGCAAACTGATTCAACAACACATTAAAAGGATCATACACTATGGTCAAGTGGTATTTATCCCTGGGATGCAAGGATGGTTCAACATACACAAATCAATAAATGTGAAAAATCACATTAATAAAATGAAAGATAAAAATCATATGATCATCTCAATAGACACAGATGAAGCATTTGAAAAAATTTAACATTCTTTCATGATAAAATTCAAACAGGGTATCAGAGATGTCTGCATTCCCATGTTCATTGCAGCATTATTTACAATAGCCAAGAAATAGAATCCACCTAAGTGTCCTCTGACAGATGAATGGATGAAGAAAATGTGATATACTATACAGTGGGCCATGAAAAAAAGAAGGAAGTCCTGTCATTTGTGATAACGTGGATGAACCCTGAGGGCATTATGCTAAGTGAAATAAGTCAGACAAAGATAAACACTGTATGATCTCATTTACATGTGGAATCTAAAAAAACCCAAACTCACAGAAACAGAGAGTAGATTGGTGGTTACTAGTGGCTGCAAGGTGGGGGAAATGGGTGAAGGTGGTCAAAGGGTACAAAATTCCATTTACAAGATGAATAAGTTCTGGGGAATCTAATGTACAGCATGGTAACTGTACTTAACAATACTGCCTTGTATACTTGAAAGATGCTAAAAGTAAATCTTAAAAGTTCTCACCAAAAGAAAAAAAAAGTTACTATGAGGTGATGGATGTGATAACTATCCTTGTTGAGGTAATAATTTTGCAATACATACACATATCAAATCACCATGTGGTATATCTTACACTTATACAATGTTATATGTCAATTATATCACAGTAAAACTGGAAAGAAAGTAAATAAAAACATGCCCGCCCTCCCCCTCCCCTTCCCCTCCACCCCAGGCAACACACAAAAATAGCTCCCAACACATGCCACCAGCTTTCCATTTCCCAGCCTCTTCCACTAGAGCTACAAGTATACAGGGTACGTTATCTGTCTTCCATGCATCACCATGCTATCACAGGAGATTGTTTTGCCAAATGTTTCACTCCTGTGAAAATGACTCACTATCTATATGGCTTCCAATATCACTTCCTTTGTTGCGTACTACCTAGGCCCTAAATCAATGCCATGTATTTAAGGTTTTTGTTCAAGTAACAGCTCACTTCTGACAATAATTTCTGTGTCAGTCAAGGCTGACTCAGTGTTGCTGCAGTAATAAACACCACAATCTCAGTGGCTTGAAACAACAAAAGTTTAATTATTATTTTACTGGATATCCACTATGGGATGGAAGAGGAGTTCTGTTCATTGTAAGTTGCTCAGGAACCCAGGCTGACTGCAGCCACTGTTTTGAATATTGCTGGCTGCTGTGGGAGAGGGAATAAAGCACTCTGAAGCGTCTTGCATTGGCAAGCCTGGAAGTGACTCATGTTACTTCTGCTCATAACTAATAGGCCAGAATTAGTTACATGACATTATCCAACCACAAGGAAGCCAGCAAGAGCAATTCTCTCTTATGCCTAGGATGGCAGACAAAGGGAAATATCTGTTGGATACCTGCCAAAATAGGTAACAACAAGAAGAAACAATAGTGAAAATATTTATGATAAGTGAACTTAAAGAGGTTAAAAACAAAAAAAGTGGACTATATGGTAGACATGATTGAGGGACCTGTTTAAAGTGGATGGTCTGAGAGGCCTCTCTGAAGAGGTAACATTTGCACTGAGACCTCAGGAGTGAGCAAGAATTAAAAGAACATTCCAGACAAGAAGAAACAAGCATAACAGCCCTAGGGTAGAATAAGCTTGATTTTTTCTGAAACTGACAGAAGATGAGATCTATGGGAAACAAAGAAGCAATGGGGTGGGAGGGGAGTGTCATGAAATGGGAGAGACCATCAGGGTCAGATCACAGAGGGCCCTGAAGGCCATAGCAAATAATTTAGAATTTTATCCTAAAATGCAGTAGGAAGCCATTGAAAGGTCTAAAGATAAGAAATGCATGTTTGGGGCTTCCCTGGTGGCGCAATGGTTGAGAGTCCGCCTGCCGATGCAGGGAACACGGGTTCATGCCCCAGTCCGGGAAGATCCCAAATGCCGCGGAGTGGCTAGGCCCGTGAGCCATGGCCGCTGAGCCTGCGCGTCCGGAGCCTGTGCTCCGCAACGGGAGAGGCCTCGACAGTGAGAGGCCCGCGTACCGCAAAAAAAAAAAAAAGGTAACTGGCTATGTGGTGAATTAATTGGAAAAGGGTGAGAGTGAAAATGGGGAGACCAGCTGGAGACGACTGTATCAGTGCAGAGATGACAGGGCTGGGAAGGGTCTTGGGGGGCCAGCAAGCTGGGAAGATGGTGAGAAGTGAACAACTTAAGATATATTTTGAAGGACTTACTGATGGATGGAATAAGAGAAAGGTTGGGAGCAGCAGGGGTTATATATGACTCCCATTGTCAAGGATGAACAAAGCAGGGCACTAGTTAAAGTGGTAAGGACAGATTTTTATCAGTAAGAAATATTGCTATAGGGAAAAAGTCCAACGTGAACTGAACAAAACTTCCATTTGTATAGAGATGAATAGGTGTTTTGAAGGGAGAATGAGGGAGGGGTGGTGGAGTGGGGGCTCTGTAGAGTCAGGGAAGTAAAAAATTACAAAAGATTAGTCAGTGTAAATGCGATTAGGCCAGCTGTGTCTGCTAGCGGCAATCATTGAAGTTAGGGTTCTACCCTCCTACACAGACTGGGGGAGAGAGGTCCCATCCTCAGGTGTTGACTGGAACAAACAGGGGCCTTGGCAGCCTTGAATTTTCTCATGCAGCCACTTTAAGGGGGACTGGCATTATTTTAGGATGTGGCCTTGAGCTGATAGGGCCTGTGTTCATGTTTATTCAAGTCTTTATAGACGAAGGTTGAGGCCTAGTCAAGAGGGCTCACAGAGGCCTGGATGGAGTTTGGTTTTAGTGACAAGGTGGTTGGTGGTGTCATTCACAGAGAAGGCATGGTCCAGGGGACAACTAGGTTTAGAATCTAGAAGAGACCAAATCCTATTTTGGACATGTTAAGTTTGAGACATTCAAATGGGTGAGAAGTTGAATATCAGAATGGATCACATAAGAGAAGTCTGGGCTAGAGACATAAACCAAGAGCTGTCAGCAGGACGTAACTCAAAGATCACACAGGTGGGAATTAGAAAAGAGATAGGAACTCCAGGATTTACCTAGCAAATTCATCCTTGAGATTTGTTCCCAGAAATGTATCATCATTAGGTATGTGAAGTTGCATTTCTGTCAGAAAGTAAAATTAACAGAATAACAATCAAGGCAGCTATTAAATATTTGGAGATTTTTCTTTTGATTTGAATCCTATCTCTATTTGCTAGTTCTAAATCACAGGCGTATATATATATATATGCGCTTATTGAACACTACTGTCATATCCCTTTAACAAATATGGAAAACTGAACAGGGCAGGGTTAAATAACTTGCTTGTGGTGACACAAAATTAACAAAGGTTGGGTCCTGTATTCAAAACTAAGCATTCTGGTTCCAGTCTGTGTTCTGAACCCCTATTCTATATGGCAAGCCTAGTAAAGTAGTTTATCATTTATCCGTTTAGTGGGTCATAAATAATGGACTATACATATATATATAATAGTTCCAATAAGCATTTTTATTGGCTTTCTTTATGTTCATGTGTGCACGCCTGGGTCATTAGGGTTGAGGCACAATTCATTTGGTGGCTGTGCCCCAGGGTATTACAGCCAAACTCTAGGAAGAGTAGAACCGGTTTCACTAGAATGGTCCTGAAGCTTCAAAGCATTAAAAACAAACGAACAAAAAAATTAAAAAAACACAAATTGTACCGGTCAGTTAAGTTTGCTCTGCCCTATGGCATCAAACTGAATTCCTAGTCTCTGGATATCATTTGCTGGTCGGGGAGATGAGTAGAGTTTTTCCCTCCACAGAACATTACACGTAGTATTGGCACACTGAATTCACATTGTTGTCATAAGTATGGAAGCGTTCCTTGAGGGCAAGAATTGGTTTATGCCATCTTTTTTACTACAGCCTCTGTGCCTAGCAGAGTCTGACATGCAGTAGGAGCCTAAAGGATGCTTGACAGTAGAGGAAGGAAGGCAAGGAGCAAGGAAGCGAGGGAAGGAGAAAGAAAAGGAGGGGAGGAGGGAAAGAAAAGAGAAGGCAAGGAATTCAAATCAAACATCCCTACTGCACACTAGGAAGGTGAGCAACATGCCCTCCAAGGCTGTGGGTTTCTCTTAAGTTTTTCCCGCTTATGGGGCACAGAAACGTCCTGATCCCCTCTGGAATACCCTAAATCTCCCGCCACACACTTTCTGCCCTTCCTGACCTCCGACCCCCTTGTTTGGCCTCCCAGACCCGCCCACTCCTCCCCCAGCAATCTCCGCCAGCCGTCCCAGCCACTGCGCCTGCGCACGCGGGGCGCTCGGCCGCGGGCCGTCGGGGCGGGGTCCCGAGCGGGGCGTTCCGCCGACGGGAAGAGGAAGAGGAAGTTGGGGGAGGGCCCTAGCGGGGAGTGAACCGGAAGTGCAAGCGCTCCAGCTTCTCTTCGGCCAGGCGGAACCTTCTCAGCTGGGCCCGGTGGCCGCAAAAAACTTTCTTTCTCCCGCCCTAACGGTCGCCGCGGCCAACTGCCTCGCTCGCCTGCCAGCCTACCCCGCCTTCTCTTTGCTCCGGCTCCGCGCGGCCCTGTCTCCCGCTCGCCCGGCGGTATCCGCTTGCTGCTGCCACCGCCTCCTCGTTTTCTGCCTGGCTAGCCGGCCCGCCCCGCTGCAGTAATGTGCGACAAGGAGTTCATGTGGGCCCTGAAAAACGGAGACCTGGATGAGGTGAAAGACTATGTGGCCAAGGTACGTGGGGATGAGTGGAGTCGCGAGAGCACGGAGGTGGGATGGACGGGAGGCTGAGGAAGCTGCTGGGAGCTGGGCTGGCGGGGGCGGGGGTGGGGGAGACCTCCCGGGTGGAGGCGGCACCGAGAGAGCCGGGAGGCAGGGAGCGTCCAAACTGAAAGATGGGTCCACACAACGCGGTCGCGTTCTGTGTCAGGTAACTGCCGTGGTGACACTGTCAGGCTCTTCTTGCCTTCCCGACTTCTTGGGGGAGGGGAGAGTGGTGACCCGCTCTTTTAGAGTCACTTACGAGCCCTGATGACTTGAGTTCGGCCCTTTTCTACTCCAGAGTTACACTTAAATCTTTTTCTGGACGAGGTAATTCTCCATCTTGGACCTGCCCACTACTGAATGAAGTAACAAGTGATTAGGGTCAGAGGAACGTTTTCTTTAACTTTGGGCCTGTTATGAATTTAAAGTATTCATTGACCGTGAAAAAGAGTACCGAAAATAGCAGTAGTTAAAATTCTGAAACTTGGTATCACTTCACTGTGAAGTCGTTTAACTTTGGGTGTGGCCTTTTCCCTCTCCCCCGCTAAAACAAATAACTTCTTTGCTTCCAGTGGTAAGGTTGTCATTTAGCATCTGGGCGTCTTTAAGTTATCTGAGCAGTTTTCAAACAAGTGTGTGAACTTTGGTTACTCTGTCTTTCTCCTTGGTTCCATCAGAAATGCTTATATGTGTAATAAATAGTAAGGCAGTTTAGTCACAGTACTCTTGGGGGTAGAATCATGATGAAGAAAGCTAATCTCAAACCTAAACCCAGATGTGAATCCACGTTGTGATCAAGTGGTAAACTTAAAATTCCAAGCTGGCCTGCCTTTGGACCCTGAAATTGTGCATTGTGTAATTAGGAGAGAACTTACATGTGATTTTAATATGGTGATCTAAAAAGAAATCTTTCAAAACAAAAGTATGACTTTATTACCTAAGCATGGAGCACATCTTGCTTCTAAAAAGTATGGCTTTATGACATGATCAGGGAGGGCATCTTGCTCACCTGCTAAAAGTGTAAGAAGCCAATCCAGATTTTAGTTCTTCAAAGGATATGACCACTGGTATGTTGCTATGTTTTTGCTTCAGAGTTCTGTTAGAAACAAGTAACCAGAAGCAGAGTTTCTTAAAACTTACAGGACTGTGCAAGGCAAGCTACTGATAGTTTTTACTCTGTTTAGTACCATTACAATTTAGACTTTTCGCATAGTCTGAAATCGGACTTTTTGGATGTTTCCCTTAAGATTAAAGGAAGGAAATTACTTGGAACACTTCAGTCCATGGTATGGTTCCAGTGGTGGGACACTGAAGTACTCTGGAAGTGAGTGGGCTTTTGTTTTTCTGTTAATGGTGGAACCTAGGTTATTTGATATTCTTGAGATATGAAAAGTTCTTAAGTACTGAGCTTGCAGCTATAAAAATAAGTTTATATAGTGTCTTCCTGTTATATTATTTAGTATCATCCTTGTGAGTCTTGTAAAGTAAGTCCTTTTATTAGTCCCATTTTACAGATAAGATTACTGAGATGCAGGGTACTTAAGAGGAAAAAAAAAAATACAAAGTTATAGAGAGAACAAACGAAGGCAGAACTAAACTGCTGACTCCCAAACTTAGACTCCTTAACTTCTCCATGCAGTCTCTCACAATCTAAACTGTAATTGTGAAAATTTATGATATCAAGATTTCTAGCAGGACATTCCCAAGGTCCACATCCAGGCAGATTATGCATAGTTTTCAATCACACAAAAACATTTTTGTAAAAATATGTGCCAATACCAATGGATTAATTTATTTTCAGTTAGTTTTTAAATTAGGTCATTCTATTCAGTTTGATTTTGATTTTTTCCCTATTACTACCATACTGCTTACTGTCATTAACAAAAAAAATGTGCATGAGAGGGAAGGATAGACAGTCAAAGCAAAGTAAAAGAAAGTATTAAGAACTGGTTTATCCAAAAAGGTTTGACTCTAAAGTAATTCTATGAACAGACCATTGAGCTTTTTCCTTTCTTAGTTTTTATTGGGTAACTTGAGTCTCTTCAAATATCTTTTGCTTTGTTAATGAAAAATAATAAAAAACAAAACAACCAAAAACTAGCACTTCATTTTTTTTCTGACTGAGCTCCCTTATTGTGCCTTTTCACATTTCAGGTCCTCATAACATGGTTTCTTCTGCTCAGCCTCTATCTTCCCTGCTTATTCACTGATTTACCTTTTTCATCCACCAATTTATGCACACATTATTATTCTCTAAGTTTATGTAATGTGCATTTATCTGAGTGTGTACAAAGAAAGTACGTAAAGAAACATTTGGACTTGTGTAGTTTTCCTTCTAAGGGGTGAGAATCTTTAAAAATACTCTTCTGAGTACTCCTGTGAATATCTCTCACATTGCTAACATTTAAGAATGGACCTGTGGGTGAAGCATTTTAGTATTTCCCTTTTTTAAAATTAATATTTTAAAAAACAATAATTGTATTTTTCTATCTGCTTCTGACTTCTATACAGAAATCTGGAGTATGGATAGGCATAAATTGTTGGTTTGGGGTAACTTCTTGAATTCTGAAAAATAAGTTCAGAGTTCCAAAATCATTGAAAATTGTTATGTTCCTAAATGGAAAAAGCAGCATATAAAGAAAAACTTAGATTACTCCATATTAAATATTCATCTGTGTCATTAAAACAATATCTGAAACAAATTGGTTTCTTGACTGGCCAAAAGACCATATTTACTTAATTCATCCATTTTTCTTGTGCACCTTTCAGGCCCCCAGCACTTTGCTAAACCTGGCATAATAGTGAAGAATTTGGACGCAATGCTCAGAAAACTCATATGTTTATATTAAGTAGACCTATGTGGAAAAGCGTTCATGGTTTTAAAGTAGCATGCAAAGTAAAATAACATCTCACTTTCGTAAGCAGTTTGTCCAATTGGAAAACAAGAGAAAGACGCAAAGTAAGATATTCATGAGCAGTAATAGTAGATATTCACCCATTTTCAATCTGTATGATTCCTCTTGGTGCCTTATTTTTGCCTTCCATTTCTGCCTTTATGTTAATTTCTCCCATTGGAGTTAATTTGGCCCTCACTTGAGCTCCGGACTGCCTAATGGATAGCGCCATTCAGATAAATTCCAAATTGCGCTCACATTTTCTTCTCAAAAATTGTTTCTATTTCTCTTGTCCCCATTTTGACTAATGACATCATGACCCAATCATTTGCCCAAACTAGAAATTGGGGAATTTTCCCAAATTTCTGAGTGTTATCAGGACTCCCTTTCTTAGTCTCTCTCATCCATTCCTTATTCTACATTCTTATCATCACTACTTTAGATTAGTTGCTGCTGCTTAACCATCTGGACTGTATTTTCCTTGACTGTAGTCTCCCCCTCTTTCCTGATCAACTTGAACATCTCAGCTGGAGGGATCTCTCTCTAATACGAATCTGAGCATCTTATCTTTTTCAGCCAACCTTCTTCACTGCCCTTATACTTTTGTGATTCCCCATTATTTATTTTAAAAAAGGGCCAACTCCTCCTTGGTTTGGCGTACTAGATCGTGAAAATCTGGCCTATGCTTGCCTTTTTAAACTCTCTCTACACGCTCTCTGCTCCAGACCCTGCTAGGCTGTTTCTTACTTGTGTATCTTCACATGTGCTCTTTCATCCTCTTTGACCAAGTCAGCTCACCTCAGTCCCTGACTCCCAACCTGGTGAGCTATTTTTCCTCTTAGCTTAATATCATCTCTTCCAGAGAAGCATTTTGACTTCAAATGGAGTGCTGCTTCTTTTACAGTTTCACTTATCAAATTGCTGTGATTTTGTTTATGTCTGTCTTTAATTAAAGGCTGTGAGCCTCTGGAGGATAGATACTATATCCTTTTTCATCTTTGTGTCTCCAGTATAGTGCCAAGGAATTTCACACATTAAAAGCATATGTTCCAAGTAAGAAATTCTTTTTATTCTTAACTTCACTATAGTTTCAACATCTTGCATTAGTTATATAATAATAATTACCATTGACAGGATGACTTATATTGCCAGGTACTAGAAAGCATTCTGTAAGATTTTTAGGTAAATTTTCATTTGCCTTTTACCACAGCCTTTCAATATAGGTAATAGTATTCCCATTTTGAAGATGAGGAAATTGAAGCTTAGAGAAGTTAAGTAATTTAACAAGGTCACAAAATAAGTAGCACAACTGGGATTTAAACCCAGAGCTGACTGAATCTACAGCCCATATATTTTTCACCAGATCAGTCTGCCTTGAAATGGTTATCTGGCTTCTTAGCTCACAGTTGCTTAGCATGAGCACATTAAGAAAATGAGAAAGGGGCTTGCAAGAGGCAAGCACAAGTTATCTCTGTGAATAAGGAATAGTAAAAGGGGTACAGTTTTTAAAATTTTCAACTGTTTAATTGTAAAATTGTTACATTTGGAAATAATTAGCATGGAGACACCGCTATAAACTTTAAGTCTTGTCAGGTGCTGTCTTTCTCAAAGTGTCTGTAAAGAAACTGATTAATTGATCGATTGATTGAAAGCTTGTGGAAACTTTTTTGTATGTGTCGTCATGCATAATCTTATAATTTGTATTAATAATTACGATCCTGTACAGTACAGGAAAAGTTAAATTGTGTCTGTTTGCCTTAAGAAGAAACAAAAGTTAACTGAAGTATTGAGACTTCTATTCAGATTGGTTTAAATTAAACAAATGGCACTTTTTTCAAAAGATATGTTCTTAAAACTTTATATATTTGAGTACTGTGATGCCATGTACAGGTATAATTTCATTTATTTATCACATCAACCCATGAACATAGTTAATATTGTTAACCCAATTTTAGAGATTTTAGAGATGAAGAAATAGAGGCAAAGATTAAATAACTTGCCCAAGGTCATAAAGCTCTTGAGTAATGAAGCTGAGATTTGAACTTAGTCTAGAGCTCTGACTTCAAAGCTCCTTGC